AAGGATTTTGTCAAAAATTTGAATTTTGTTCCAAGGTATGTGCGGTGCTGTTCCAGTGCCTGTCTCGGTGTTATCATGGCAATATTGAACTTCCTTGTTGCTCCACAACAGTTAAGAGATTATTTGGAAAAGGCTATTGTCCAACAAGATTAAGGACAAAGATTTAGTTATCAAAATGTTGTGGTACGCTTTCCTTTTATATTCTTAGAGTGAGATTTTCCACGGATCCAGAGGTTGTAGCCCAACTTCGATTCAGTTCATGTGGAACTTAGATTTCTGATTCACCTGTTCCTCCTTCACATCTCTTCAAAAATTGTTCATGTCTCTAGATTATGTGTTTATGCATTAGTTTTTAAGTGCATGCATTGAAGTGCATGCAACTTCTCCTGTCTAGCAAGTGGGTACATGAGGGTGGGTAGTGATCACATACAGTTACGATTCATGCACATGAAATTTAGAAAAATAATCTGGAAAACTGAGATTGGTGTTATAGAAGGAACACTTTTGATTTAGTTTCTACCCTTAAATACTCACGTCTTAAGTTTAAGTTTGCAATATGTTATTTCAGCAGGTGAGAGAGCTTCACAATCCATAGTTCTCTTACTGTTAAGGTGACTGTGACCTGTGACACAGAAATGAAGCCCGAGCCAGCAAGGCCCTGTGCTGCAGGTAGTGTTTCCCCAAAGACAGACACTAGGCAGAGGCTAGCTTACCTTTGCCATGTCATGGGATCAGTGAGAAAGGCCCAGATGGGATCCAGAAATAGTCTGTAAAAGTCATCAGATCTCAAGAATGCAGTACCTCCCCATATCTTTATTTTATGGCAGTTACGTGATAACAGAGAGATACTGGAAATTTCCTCAGTTCTGTGTTGTAGTCTTGTTCTTTGTATCTTAAGTAAAGCTTTGTGGCAATCAGACACCCCCTGAAGGTCTTACTCAGGCCAGAGGAGCTCATAAAAGTGAGTTCTAGGCATACAAATTAGTTGTACGTACATAGCAGCTTTCAAAATAAAAAGCACAGTAGCTCCTTTTCCAAGTTAAATATACAGAATATCCTTCAGTATACTGAACTGAAGGTTTGGTTTTTTTTATAAGAACAAAATCTAGTTTTACTAGGCAAGCTTAGGCTAAATGGTTACAAAAATAATACAGAGCAACGCTTTCAGGCAGAAAAGGGTGAAATGGGTGTTGGAAATTGTGTCATTTCCTAGTGTCCTGACATCGCGAGAAACAGTGACTGTGTGATGAAAGGCCCTTTTCATGCCACATAGAGGAAGCTCTCATGCAGGTCAACACAAAGATCCAGTATATGCTTATGGTTTAGTAACCAAAAAGATTTTTACTTAGAACACTTCTCTACTGTCTAGCCGTGACCAAAAAAAATTAAATATCATCTACTGGCACTGCACAGAACTAAACTGAACTATCTGGGTTTCGTGTTGGAGTTCCCTGGGACATTAAGAAAAATTCCCAGGTCTGAGCGAGCTGTCTACAAGTCCTGGATGAGGGAAAGGGGAATCAGAAGGATTTTAGTTGCTAAAATCTTTACTAAAAATCTCAGGAAACAAACTAATTCAAGTAGTTTGCTATACGTAAAAAGTAGTCTGGGGTGAATTTTTCGCCCTGCTTTTACAGTATTGATTTGCTGAGCTTTGTGTGAAAAACTTTTTGATTTATAAATGTGCTTGTGAAATGGATACAACTGCTTGAGCAAATAGAACTACAGAACGTGCTTATGCAGAGTACTGCAGACACGTGCTTTTGTATGCTATGTTCACTTCATTCTCACTGTGTAGTGTTTGTGGGTTTGGGTTTGGTTTTTTTTTGGTAGGTGCTATAAATAATCCCTGAGTGGACTTTGCAATACTGTACACGTGGGTGAGATTAGATATCTGGAAGGTCAGGATGGGTTGTCCTGCAAGCATGATCACTGTGTGATCTTGAGCATGTCACAGTGCATGTTTCCTCATTGTAAAGATCCTAATTCTTCATACAGCTCTTCTGAGCCTATAATTATTCTAAAACACATTAAAGATACTGAATTGGAAGGCATTAGCCAAGGGAAGTTGGTCATTATGAGGTGTGTATAGGTATGTGATACAGTAATTCTGTATGGCCAGGAGGGTGGAAGATAGAAATTTTGAATAATCAGAAAGGCTAGTAGGCAAAAATGAAGCTTTCTTCTCTTACCTTCTGTTGTGTACTAGGTGATTGACTTGTCTAACAAGAATTAATATAGAGACAAATAAATACATTTGAAAATTTAGCCCTGAAAATGTGTTTGTGTTAGAGTTCTGGGTGGACTCATCTTTGGATCCAGAACTCTCAGTTGTCCAGGTTGTAAGAGCCAGGAGGAACAGAAGGACATAGATACCAGAAATAGAACTTGAGTTCAAACTGTGGAATTTTCCAGTTAGATCTCACCTAACCCAGCAGTGCATTAAAGCTTCATTTTTCCTTTTTTTGGAGTGTGACTTTGCCTCGGCAGCTCCTCTGCCCGTGCTCAGAACAGCATCCACAAAGAGGTATGTTCCCCCCGGTTGTTGTGCTTAGAGCTATTTTCATCTTTCTGGTTTGCCGACCACCCTGCAGACCCCGTCTGTGGTTCAGATGAATTAGACATAGAGTTGGAGGTATGGGAGTATGGAACAGGGCAGGAGCTGGAGAAAAAATATTGATGCATTACTAGAAATACCTGGTAGGTGTGGAAAACAAGAGGTAGGTATTAATAAAGTATCTCACAGAGCCTGGCAATGCTGTTCAGTCTGCCCTGGCATGTAACAGAGCATAACTTGTATAGGTGTTGATATCATAACAGAAAGGCATACAGCCCCTGTCTTGCACAGAAAATCCATCCCTGCTGATGCTATTTTGCTGTTCACATCTGTGAAGCCAGGGAGATCTCTGTTCGAAACACGGCTCCCTTTCAGTAGCAGTCCAGTGGCAGGCTAGCAAAGTGAGCTGTGTTCGGTTATTTGAAAGGATGCAGGCGCTTACCCGCCAAAGAGATGTTTGCTGTCTGTGGGTCTTTAGTGAATGAAGACACCTTTTGGGAGTCCCAAAAGAGCAGGAGATAAAATGTGAACCTCTGCCTCTGGTATTTTCTGTTAGCTATCTATCGGTGTCCGTGCTGTGTATTGACTTCAGATAGCCCTCTCTGCACGCTGTGGCCTGGTAGCTCTAGGAAGAAGTATCCTATGGTGTAAGGTGGAAGATTTGGATTACTCGGGCTGAATCGCTTTCTAATTGGAAGGCTGTTTTAGAAATCTCTGAATATTTTTATCTGGAAAGAGATGCCAGTCTAAATGTTAAGTATTGTAGCTGCTTCTTCTCTAATGTGATTTCCTTTGATATGGTTAGGATCATTCGCTTAGGCTGTTTTAAGACAGTAGGTATTTGGGTTGGTATTTTTTTAGCCAGAAGAACCGAAGGTAGTTCATCTCTCTCTGAGCTAGCAGACTGCTGGAAGCATGGCTGTGTGTAAACCGTTATATAGGGCTGATGCACGGCACTTTGGATACCTCCGTATGACAGCATCCAACCTGGAATGGAAGCATGGAAGTCGTACGTTTCAGCCATCTAGACTGAGGTCTAAGAGAAGGCATTTGCTCTCTGCAGAGCTGTAGGATCAGTGCCTTGTAATGGGCTGGCTGCAGGAGAAATGGGTGGTTTAAGCACCACACTTAAACTCACTTCTCTCACTTCTCCCCTCACATGTTTTTGAGAGGCTTACATTGAAGTGATAGTAGCAGTGAATGTTTTATAGCTACTTGCAAGAGTGAACAAGTTTTGAGACGGACTCTTCAGTGGCATCCTCAGCGCTGCTAGCTCCCATACCAATTTGGTGATTAATTCAGTGGTAAACATTGCACAGAACATTAGTTGGGTTGATGTTTGCACTGCGCAGAGAAGGTGTGATTAGCAGATAAGGGGTATGTTGTTATTAGCACTCTGGGACTGCAAGGCAGTGTTTGAAGGGGAAGCCTGGGAGTTAGGCTTTTCAGGGTTCTGCTGCTGCCTTGGCCTTGACTCCACTGTAGCACCAGGCGAATAGGTTTCTGGCTGAAATGTATCAACTTCAGCAACTAGTAGTAGCAGGTATTGTGGCTGAGTGAGTGTTCTTTGGAGGATTCTGGATGTTTTCTGGAAACTGGGAGTGCTGTATGAATGCTGTCAATCACTGTTGGTATCGTCAAGTTTTGTTAGGGCTTGTCTCATCAAGGCTTTGCTCTTTTGCATTCAGGCAATATGTTTCCAGTATTAAATTGTGTTTTGATGTAATCACCTTGTTTTACTGTTTGTAGCCAGGTTGTACCAGAGCACACATTCTAGCAGAAGTGCCCATTGTGCCCATTAATATGTTTTTCACTTGTGTGTATTGTTTTAGTCAGATATAATTTACTTGAAAACCAGCTTTTAAAAAGTGTGAAGAGCATTCTTTGCATTGTGTCATTGGTTGAAATAAAGCCACTGTGTAAAGATTGTGTCTCTTAGGTAACAAATCTCTACAATATTTGGCAGGTATAATCACTACTTTAAAAAAAAACAACAAACTTTTAGACCAAGCTGTGCAATGCTAGAAATATATTAGTTGTAGTTAATTTTCAGCAACTGAGTTGACATGACTGTTGGACTACAATAAACCCTATGTCTATCTCTCTACAGTGGAACAGGGTGCAGACAGCGATTTTATCAAGGAAGCCTCCCAGAGAGACAGTGCTGCTGCATTCTTTTCCATTTCACAACATTGCCAGCAGCAGGTTTATTCTACAGGATATCAGCTTCCCTCCTAGGGAAGGTGATTCTTTGCATAACTGGGATGTAATGGGGAGGATCTTTCCAAGTTTGCTTGGAAATTGCTTTCTCTGTGCTGAACTAAGATTTTAGCCCTTGCTTTTCATAAATGCTGTATTCATTCTGTTAAAAAGTCGCACGTAGCACATTCATTTATGGTTTAATGCAGATGGTCCTTCTTTGTGTTTTTAGGGAGTCCTTGAGATGGCAGCGATGGCAGAATTCAACAATGTCCGTTCAGTGACTGAAATGCCAGAAGGAGACGATGCTAAACGCAGTTTCCATCACAGAATGTTCTTGGAACCCCAGGAGAAGAAGAGGAGCATGAGGGCTCTGGTGGTTAAGCAAGCACAGAAAGCTTGCAGCTGCACTCCGGCCAAAGTTAAAGACTATGTTTTCAGTTTCTTTCCCGTCTTGCAGTGGCTTCCTAAATACAAGCTAAGAGAGTACCTACTGGGAGACATAATGTCTGGTGTGATTGTGGGGGTCTTACTAGTCCCACAGTCAATTGCCTATTCTCTCTTGGCTGGACAGGAGCCCATTTATGGCCTTTATACATCCTTTTTTGCTAGCATTATTTATTTCATATTTGGAACCTCCCGCCACATCTCAGTTGGCATCTTCGGTGTGATTTGCCTGATGGTGGGACAAGTGGTGGATCGTGAAATACAGAGAGCTGGCTATGACTTAGAGCCAGCTGCGCTCACTGTCCTCACAGATACAGCAGCGTATGTAAATGCCACCGTTTTGCCTGTGAATCAGACGTCCCAGAAGCTGTTCTGTGATAAAAGCTGCTATGCAATTACAGTGGGAGCCACCATGACCTTCATAGCTGGAGTTTATCAGGTAAGAGGAGGTGGTCAAATAGGTATTCTGTGGAAATAGTTTTAATTCTTCTTTAGGTGATTGTCCACATGAACAGCCTGCTGAGCTTGCGTGTGTCCTCAGTCTGCATCCCAGGGGAGTGGACACAGGGAGGACTGGAGGTCTTCAGTTACTCTCATGCGAGAAACTGCTCTATGTCCTCTCTTTTTTTTAATAGCATTTTATGCTTGCATTGCAACTCTGTTGGGGACTGTAAGGACCTGCACATAACCACATGATGTTCTTGCACAATCTGCTCACCACCTTCCTTGCTGTGGCCTGAAGATTTTTTTTTCCCCTTCTTTCTTTTGCTGGTTTATAGCTTAGGCCTCCATTTCATTAGGCCAAAATATGATGTGTCAGCTTTTAATTCCAGACTTCAGTTGTTTGCCTTTGCTTTTATTAAAAAATAATCTGGATGGTAAAAGTATCTCCAGTTTCTTTTTATTTGTCACTGTGCTTGTAAAACTTTGCTCTTTGCCCATTCAAAGCCAAAATAATGCCATTGTATAAAAAGGATACTACTGAGATGATAAAATATATTGAAATAAAACTTTTAATTATTGCCATATTAAAATACATTACTCAACAATATTTTACCACTCTGTCTCTACTTCCTAGAATTCACTGCTTGCTGAAATTGAAGCAGATATCTTTGTTTTTAGAGTGTCATGCATTAACCAGAATGGATTTAGTTTTAACAGTACTGCAGAGCTGTGGTGTTTCAGTTTGTGAGTTCACATTCATTTGTTCTTACAGTGACCTCCAGGGTGATAGCTGATCAAACTGTATGGGATTGGAAAAGGAAACATACTTATGATACTCTAAAACACTGGTTTTAGACACAACCTGGGACTTTTTCTTGTACTGCAAGCTAGCGTTGAGTAATTTCAGAAATATTCTGGGACTCCTGAGGTACACTGGATTTTGTGTTTCATCACTGTAGAGTGGATGCAGTTTTGGAGTTGTGAATTGTGCATAATATTCTTTGCAAGTACAATTAAGTTTCTTTGTATGAAGAGGTCGGATTACTTTACCTTAAGTCCCTCTGAATGTTAGGCGTATTCTACTTGCTGTCTTTCTGCCTGCTAACCAGTAGGTCTTCACACCCTCAAATGTATTTTTTGTTATTGGAAACTCCAACCAAAATCACATATTGTTTGTATCAGAAACTTTACAATCAAATTGCAAAAAGCAAGCCTGCTCACACCAGTTGCCTACAGTGTAACGAGGTAAAACAATTACTGCTAATGTTCTACAGTTAGAAAAACCTTGGTTTAACGTAATTACCAAGGCTGTGAGGGAACATTTTTTAGAGCTTGGCTCTGAGCCGATGCCCAGTCAGTCCAGATCCCAAACCTGCCTTCTCTTCAGTAATGCTTTGCAGTTCTTATGAATTTTCCAGCCATGATCCTAGCCTTTTTTATTTTTGCCTTAACTACCTAATAGGATATATCAAATTGACACTACTTAAAGTTTAATACCTGTAAGTTCTGGCCTGCAGTCTTCAGATAACAGTGTAGACATCCCTGTTGACCAGCGCAGGGAATTAAAAGGTTTCTAGCAAACTGCTGTGAGAAGGTCTGTGCTCCATTTGGCATGAAGGTTGACTGGGAGGAAGAGACATTTTACCAGGTGCAAAGACGCATATGTAGAGTAGATATCCATAAAACCAGTCATTCACATGAGAGAGCACCAGGGATTTGTCCATTCAACTAGCATTAATAAAAATTAATGACAAGGCACTTAAAAAAATTGTCTCTATTTATATAATCTGCATCACAAGAGTCTGCAGCTCATATACTTTCCAAGTCAGATGTACCAGACTTTATGCAGTGCAAAGGACAGCTGTTATGCTATAAGCTGCATTTTTATTGCAGGCTGTGAGCTTCTATGTAAGACAGAAAGAGATGACCAAAAAAGTTTTGAATCCCTGCAAAGTTCACAGATATTATAAAAACTTCAGAGAGAAATGGCAAAAGTAGCCAGTGTTTCAAATGCTTTGTGTCCCAGGCTTTCTTTTTTGCCCGCGAGCATAACTAGAAGTTACAACTGAACCAGTGAGAACACAATAAACACAGATTCAGAGTATGAAGACCCCAAAAAAGCCTGCTCTGTGTTAGAAATGCATTTGGTTTTAAGTGTGGTGCACCAGGAGCAGCTGAATGCTGGAAACACTTTTGTCCATGCTCAGACCATACCTTGTCCTCCGAGGCCGTGCACAGTAGACTTTTTTTTTTTTTTTTATCCTACTTCCCTCCAGAGCCCGACGGTGATGACATCCACAAGATTTGCATCCTAATCTGTTGTGTGTGGTTAATTCCTTCCAGGTGGCCATGGGTTTCTTTCAAGTGGGCTTTGTCTCAGTGTACCTCTCCGATTCATTGCTGAGTGGATTTGTCACGGGTGCCTCCTTCACCATCCTAACCTCACAAGCGAAGTATCTCCTGGGCCTAGACATTCCACGGAGCAGTGGCATCGGCTCCCTCATAACCACGTGGATAAACATCTTCAGAAACATACACAAGACCAACATCTGTGATCTCATCACCAGCTTCTTGTGCTTTCTTGTACTTATCCCAACCAAAGAGCTTAATGAACATTTTAAATCCAGGCTCAAGGCTCCAATACCAGTTGAACTAGTCGTGATTGTGGCAGCTACTCTGGCATCTCACTTTGGGAAGCTGAGAGAGACTTACGGCTCGAGTGTTGCTGGACACATCCCAACTGGGTTTCTGCCACCTCGCCCTCCAGACTGGAACCTGATTCCTAGTGTGGCTTTGGATGCTATCCCCATAGCTATTATTGGCTTTGCCATCACTGTCTCCCTCTCAGAGATGTTTGCCAAGAAGCATGGTTACTCCGTGAAGGCCAACCAGGAAATGTATGCAATTGGCTTCTGCAACATCATTCCCTCTTTCTTCCATTGCTTCACAACAAGCGCAGCTCTTGCCAAGACTCTTGTCAAAGAGTCCACAGGCTGTAGGACACAAATGTCTGGCATGGTGACTAGTTTGGTAATCCTATTAGTCCTCCTTGTGATTGCACCTTTATTTTATTCCCTTCAGAAATGTGTCCTTGCTGTCATAACAATTGTAAACCTCAGAGGAGCCCTGCGGAAGTTCAAGGACCTGCCAAAAATGTGGCATTTGAGCAGAGTGGACACAGTGATCTGGCTAGTTACTATGGCAGCCTCAGCACTCATCAGTACTGAGATTGGTCTTTTGGTTGGTGTTTGCTTCTCTATGCTCTGTGTCATTTTCCGAACTCAGAGACCGGAGGCACCGCTGCTTGGCTGGGTGGCAGAGTCCGAGACGTATGAATCCCTGTCTGCTTACAAGAACTTGCAAACCAAGCCAGGAATCGTGGTGTTCCGTTTTGAAGCACCCCTCTACTACATCAACAAAGAGTGCTTCAAATCCACCTTGTACAAGCAAACTGGGGTCAACCCAGTCTGGGTGAAGGCAGCAAAGAGAAAGGCAGCAAAAAGAATGCTTAGAGAGAAAGAGGTGGATTCTAGTGGCAACCAGACCAGCATCTCCATGGATTTTGTCTCTGAACCTCTGGGGTTTCACACAATAGTGATTGACTGTTGTGCAGTACAGTTAAGGAATACGCACACTCAAAGAAGTTTGCAAGGACTACAGGGAGATAGATGTCCAGGTGCTACTGGCCCAGTGCAATCCTTCGGTGAGGAGTTCCCTGATCCGAGGCGAATTCTTTAAAGAAGGGGAGGACCACCTTCTCTTCCATAGTGTGCACCAGGCTGTGGACTTTGCATTGGGTGCACAGGAGCACAGTGGGACCAGTACTTCTAAGGACTAGTTGTGGAAAGGCAGCAAGCTGGAACAAAGCCTGGGAAAAAATGGCTGTGGGTCTGTATGTCTATGCAATATATATGCACTCGGATGAGAAGGGGCAGCGTTGTTGTTAACACACTGGTTACTCTGCAGTCTGTTTTAATAATTTAAATTTGCCTGCTGGGTATAGTGATTCAATAGGTGGTACTGAATGAAGGCAATTCTTAACTTGATTATGGCAAATCTGTGAATCTAAGAGTTTTCATATAGTTGTTCATCTCATTTCTCTTCTCTCTTGAATTTTCCATGTCTCAGTTCCCCTCCGAGTTTTGCTTGTCAGCACTGAAGTCTTTATTGCAACCCTGTCTTTATGGATGGGACGGGATTTTGAAGTAGTCTGAGCGTCCTGTCCAGCCAAATAATGAGGCAACTCAAGTCTTGTCCCTCGTTCTGGCATTGCGTTTCCGTGTCACTACACCCTTATATTTTCTAAGGAATGACTGACAAGGACTGTTTGCTCTGATCTTTACTGTGGAGTGATTGGTTGGTCATTCTGTAACCTCCCTGAATTTGAGACAGATAGATAAATAAAATCTAAATGTGCATGAAAAGGTCTTAATGAATAGCTTCTAACCACCTAACACCTCGAGAGGTTTTGTCATTGTCTTCTGAGAGCCTAATGCAGCCAGGCAATGGTTACCTCATTTCTGCACAGGCCTTTATGTGCCAGGAAAGTTTGCCTCTTCAGCTTGAATTTTTTTGGAATGATTTTTATTCAGAGGTGACTATTTAGAAGTCTGATTCATGCTTATGGTCAGTTGTTTGTTTTCCTAATATTTAGGAGCTCTTTAGAATTGTGGACATTAGATTTGGAAAATCTCTAATTCTTGAGTTTCAACAGAAAACAGTCTCTTACAGCCAGTTTTATATGCCAGGCAGACAGAATCACAGGAACCAAAATGAAAAGGGCCAAATAGATTACCCAGTATCTGTCCAAATTTGTCCATGTCACACAGACTTCATGTGTGAATAGACCCTTTGCACTTGCTGTGTCATGGACCTTATGTAATGGGGATGACAGGCCAAGAAATACAGCCATGAGAAAAGAAGCCAGAGAAATTCTTTTTGGAATGTTATTTCACCGTGTTAGTGTAAATAAAACTTTGTACTTTGGTTTTAAATTATTCAAAACAGTGAGGAGTGCCTGTTCTTCATGCTAAAATACAAGCACCAGGTAGGAAGAAGTTCTCTTTTCTTACACCAATAGAATACAATTATGAAAGCAGAATTGAGAGATTAACAGTTTTTACTCAGTACCAGCTATACATAGCACACGGTATGTCCTTGGAAGATGGTGGCTTCTGCCAGGGGAGTTTACAGTCTGATTTATGCGTTCTTCACAGCTTTTAAAAGGGAAAAGGTGCTGTATATAGACAGTGTTCTCATCCTTAATTGTTCAAAAATAATGAGGCAGGAGTCAAGAAAGGAATAAAATTCAACAGAAATTGTGAAACATTTTCTAAATAGAAATATATTTTGAGTTTAGCATTGTTTTCTTTTTTTCCGAGCTAGGACCAGTAACTATCATGTGTATCCTGTATCACTTCACTCTAGGAGCTGGGACCTCAAGAGAAAGACTAGATAGCAGAAGGATGAGTCCCAGCACCTGGCAATCTTTTTATGCTAACTGAACTTACTACATTTTTTTAGGACATCATAGCAGTGTGTAGAAATACTGGAGGGGGTGCAGGGTGGCTGTAGCATATCTTGAAAAGGAGCACATAACTGAGATCTGCGCATTACATGTTCTAAAACTAGCATTGTTAAGGAAACAAGTCTCCAAGTATCAGAGAGAAAATGCTAAAGCTTCTGCAGTATTGAAAAGCCACAAATATTGTTCTTTCTTAGCCTTAAGGCGTGTTCATACAAGGAGATGAATCCCAAGTAGCTACTGCTGAGTTTTTTCTTTCCTGCAGTAACCTCCTGCGTGAACTTTTTTGTTCTAAGAATCCGTTGTGCAGTTTGGATAATTACAATTGCTGAATTGGTACTACCAGGGTGGATTAGGCGAAGCTGTATTAAAGCAGTGAGTGGGGTTAATGCCTAGGTAGGGAGCGCGTGCAGGATGGAAATGCTGTTTTAATTCCCTGCCCTACCTGTTGAGCGTTGAGTTCCCATGCAGAGTCCCTGGGTTGATGAGAGAGAGCTGGCAGTCCCCCGCCGCTGG